GGCCCGGCCCGCGTTGTCAGGGAGCCGGCCGAGGGGCGGGGCTTTCAGTGCCCGGGCGTCCCCGCTGCTCCGCGACAGCCACGGATCCTGCAGCCCCTCCGGCCATTGTTCCCCGGCGGCAGGATGCCGGGGCCGCCCCCGGACCTTCCCTTCCGAAGACCTGGCTGCCCCCTCCCTGGAGACGTCTGTCTTGGAGCAGATTCCGACCCCGAAGTGGGTGCGATGCTCAGAGCGCTGTCCCACCCAGACACATCGAGGTCACCCGTGTAGCGCAGATCTGGGTGGGGCACACGGGCGGGGGAATGAAGGGAAGGGCGCGCTGTGCGCTGAGGCTGTGGGCTCACGAGTGAGACGGGTCCAGATCTCCCCGAGGATTCTTGGGCCCCGGCCACCGCTCCCGGCTGCCCCACCATCTCTTCTTGGTACTGGCAAAGCCATAGCTAGAGGATTCGCGGCACTTGCGCCCCCTGCCGACCGCGTAGCGCCTCACCTTTGAACATCCGTGTTCTGCTTGCGCTGGGTAGGGCCTCAGGTGTTGGGGCGAGGACTCCTAGGGGCCTAGGGTGCAGGCAACCTTTGGAGGCGGTCAGATTTCTCCCCAGGGTCGGGCAACACTTGGCAGGTGAGGGGCAGCGGGAACTGGGAAAGCTGGGATGCCCTGAGAGGCAGCCTTCTTAACGCTTCCTTCTCTTCCTTTCCCTCTCTTTTGTGAGTTAGGAGACCACATGATACCAGTCACCCCCTTACCTCCAAACTATCCTAGAAAATGCAAACGGGTCACCTCCTGGTTGTCAGCTGATGGTGAGATCAGGGAATTGGGTGAACTTTGAGACCCAGCTAGCAACATTCAATGCCCTTGAACAAAAAAAAAAAAAAAAAAACCCAAAAACATGATGATTCATGTAACTTTCATTCATATATTTGATGGAGGGTAAGAATAGAAAAACTGGAAAGGACATTATAAGGTCATGCAACGAATGAGGGTAGGAAGGATTAGCAGTCATTAATCCAGCTATAATAACTATCAGATGGTTTAGGGGCTGTCAAGAGCACATATCTGATGATGAAGATACGGGGATTAAGGAAAAACAATCCAATCACAAAGATGAGCTCCTCCCTACCAAAAGATGGTGATACAGCCCAGCACTGCCACACAGAGAGGCAGCAGTCTTCTGCCTACCTGTGACTATGCAGGTTCTTCTTTCCACCAGCTCTCTCCCTCTGCAGGGCAGCAGCCGCCTACCTCCAGTGACCTGTACCATACCTGGGCTTCTCTGCACTGACCTCCCTCAGCGAAGGCTGCTCTCCTCAAGGCCCCCGGCCTGTGACCAAGCAGGCCTCTCTCAGCAAGCCTCCCCCTTTCAGGGTGGCTCTTTCTGCCCACTTGCACCTATGCAAGTGTCCTTCTCTTTTCTGTCCCTTTTCTAAAAAGCCTGCTCCTTAAGTGTATCTGATGTCTCTGTGTCATGGAGAATCTCACTGAGTGCTGCTGAAAGGGGAGCTCCGGAGAAACCTCTCCCAGGGTGAACCAAAGGATCCTGCACTCAATCTTACAAACTCCAAAAACTACATCTGTATTGACAGTTTTAGTTGTCTCTTCTGTACCCCTGTCAATTACCATTTTGTTCAGGCAAGGGGGACAGTGACAGATCAACATGCCATTGGATCTTTGGGTACCATTTTTTTTTTTGAAAGATGGTTGAGGCGAAAGCCAGAAGTCACCCCAACCTCCCTTCCTTCCCCCACAACTATGTGTGTGTGTGTATATGTATGTGCATATATAACATATGTATGTTATATATATATATATATAAGCTTTATTCTTAAGAAGACAGCATTCAGCACTCTTAGCAGAAGATAGTGATATTTTACTAAACTATGGATTTTTTTTCTTAAAGTCTGTTAGAGATTTCATAGAGCTTATGTACCTGCACTAATTTTTTTTTAAAGCTTTCCAATCTTATGGTGATTTTAATGACATAGAATGTAAGTACAGTGTGATGATTAGATACACGTTCATTTTATACTAAGAAAGGGCAGTATTTTGTACATCTTCTATTTTCCAAAGTAGTCTCAATATTCTAATAATTTAATTTTTTCAATTAAGAAAATCCATTAAACATACTTTGTTTAATCCATTACACTTAATTTGATTTTGTGCCTTCAATATTTTATTGTGCCTTTAATATTTTAACACGACTTATCTATAATCATACCAGGAGGAGGTCTGAAGTGCAGATCCACAGAGTAATAGTAATTAGATGCAAATTACAATGAGATTAAATTACACATAACCACATACTATCAATGATGTCAGTACAGAGAAAATATTTTTTAAGATTTATTTTTGTTTATTCATGCATTCAAGAACTGGAGTCTAGGCCAGAGGTGCAGGGGGTGAAAGAATTCACCAGAGACAGAGTGAGGAGCAGAATAGGCTGACTGACAAAGCACACTGCTGAGGGGAGCAGCAGGTGAAACAGGAGAGGTCTGCTGCACCATGTGGGTCACTTCCCTGGTGGGGGGTGGAACTTGTGCTGCAGTGGCTGTAGATAGCCTCAGAGTGCTGCGCTTTAACCCCTTGTGCCACCAGGGAGGCAAGTGGGGACAGATATTTTAAAAGTTGGGGCAAAAGATACAAAGAATTTATTATTTTAATCACTTCAAAGTGTATAATATATAGTTCACTTACAATATTGTTCCATCATCACTGCCACTTAGTTCCAGAACATTTTAATCATTTCAAAAAAGGAATGCTGTATCCATTGTTCAAACACAAAGTTTATCCAAAGAAATTAGGAGATATGCTTGTTTGTTTGTTTGTTTAATGATATATAAACTCATCTAATAATTATAAGGACGCTGCAAGCGATTGCGTAAAATGAGAGATTTGTCTGGACAGAAATAGAGTAGGACAAGGTTTTGTTTTTAGCAGAAGAAAAAAATATTTCAGGCATGGCTACCCTCCCTTAGGTGAAGGCGATTACCTGCTATTATTGACCTGGATGGGTCAGGATTACACTTCTGGGAGGAACTGAAACTGTAATTAAGTGAGATATTTCTTGGTTTGGAGAAGTGGGCTTGGCACAAGTGACTCCAGTTGGCCTGTTTCTTTTTTTAACACCATTGAGTAGCCACTCCTTATACACACACCTCCCCACCCCCATTCCTGCCACTGTTTTCTACTGTCTCTATGGATACTGGCATTTGGCACTAACAAAGTCAGATCATATTTCATCATCTTCTTCCTCTATCTGATAAAATTATGTTCAATCATAAACATGTGAAAATAAATACTGGTTAATATTTTCTTGTTCTTTTATTTGTTAATTTTTAAAGAGATTTATTTATGTATAATACAGAACTTCGGTACAGGCCAGAAGTGTTGGGGTGGTGAGAAGATTCACCAGAGACAGAGAGGGGGCAGAGCAGGCAGACTGGCGAAGTACATTGCTGAGGGGAGCAGGGGGCAAGACAGGGGAGGCCTGCTGTGCCATGTGGGTCACCTCCCAAGCCAGGGATTGAACTCACACTGAAGCTGCCATGCTAGGTGGCTAGCTTATAGTCCTGCACTTTACCCTGTTGAGCGACCTGGGAGGGCCCCTTACATTTAGAGTACATTTAAAGTAACAACATAGAATTTAAAAGATTATAATGTTGCATGTGTGGAACTATACCTTATAGTTCTCAATTTTTCAGTTTTTTTAATAAATAATATAATAGTTTCTTTTTACATCATTTTGTGCATTTTTCCATCTCACTTGTAATCCCCTTGGGCCAAATCACCAAATCACCAATGTGCCATCACCATAGTCCAGTGCATTTTCCTCCCCCCACTGTTTTTGATCCCATTCCC